TCCTTTCCACAGCGGCCAGCTGAGTTATTTGTTTAGTTTAAGAAGTTAGTAGTACCGAAACTTCGGCTGACTCACTTTAAATTTATATTAGAAAAGGATGATTTATCCTAAGAAGTTTAATTCATAAATATAACGACCTCGAATCGTCAGTTCACTTAAGTTTCTCTACTTCTTATTGCCTTATATTATCAAATGTTTGGTTTGGTTTGGTTTTGCTTGGGTGGCTTTTTGTTCGTTGTTGATTTAAAAAGTTTCTCCACTTCAATAACAACATTTTCATAAACTACTCTTTATCATTAAGGCAAAACTAATTATAAACTTTGTTAAAATATAATTATAAAACTAAGTTATTTCCACCAAAACAGGTCTAATGCTTAATCATACTTTAAGCAAACAAATCTTAAATAAAATTATGTAAATTATATAAAAAAATATTCATGACAGCATTGGACTGTTTATTCAGTTTTAAGTGAAGTGAATATTTCAAAGAAAAAAAAGGTGTACGAGGTCTTCCTAACAGTACGAATTGATTTAAGGAGTTATGAACATAACCTGAAAACAGATGTTGTTAATGGGTTTATGTTTTCCAAATGAAGGGGTCAATGGAAGAACTACCTAAGTCACATTTTCAATTAAATTTACATTGTGGCTTCATCTAAAAGTGTTTCACGTGAGGTTTCAGTGGCAGAAATATGTGCCCAAGTGCCTTAGTTTGCATTTACTTCAATGGGAGTTTGCCTGATTTTCAACTTACGTGAAAACTCTTAGATGAAGCCACAATAACAATTTAATTGAAAATGTGACTTAGGCACTTCTTGCATTGACCCCTTCAAATGGATTTTCTTATTTTGTAGTATCCCTGCCCATTCGCCATTTTTGTAACTGGATTGTCAAAAATGGCGGATGCGCCGGGATTAACGGTTTTTATAATATTTATTATATATAATATATATATAAGGGTGTTATATATTATATATAATATAATATATAACACCCTTAATCCGTGCGACAAATTTGGGATTACCAATATTAAACCGGATTTAACTGATTTTTGCTCAAAGTAAACCTATAGCTCGATTTTTTTAATTGCCTTATGAGTTTTGGATAATTTATGGTGATTGCATTATGTTTCTCGTTGTTTCCCTTTGTGAAAAGATTTTTTATCTCAAAATAATAATTAAATTTGGTTTTAAAAAATGTAATAATTTGTTAAAAAAAATTAAATTTTTAGTTTAATGTACGAAATGTTACATTTTTAAAAATTTAATTCGCATACATATATGTGTTGCGTTATTTAACGTCAATATATTTTTTAATTTACTAAATTAAGTTATTTTTATTATATTTTCAAGTTGGAATAATAATTTTAAAAATAATTAAATTAATAAATTTTTTAAATAAACTTTGTTGTTTTTATTATCTAGTACCTACTAGGAATAATAATTTTTTCACGGTTTTGTGAAGTGTTGCCAATATGGTCACTTTAAAAATACCTAAACTTGGATAAACAATAATTATGCAGAGGAGTATAAATAAAAATGTTTTTATATAAATTACTAAAATAATGGAACAAAAAGTTCTAGTTTTGTATAAGTTAAAAATGTTTTAAAAATTAAACGTAACATTAATAAAACAAAATCTAAAAATAAGTGTTTTAAAACATCCGACAGTCGTAAAATCTCCGTAGAACTAGAAAAAAAATAATTTTGGTTAAACTGTGTACGCTATGGCCGATTTACACTTTAAACCCCATTACTGCCAAAAAAATTATATACGAAGACTTCATAATGAAGTAATTAGTTTGGCCAAAGAAAAAGTAAAAAATATAATTTTATGTACCTAATCCTTAATTGTTTATAAAAATAAATTATTTTAAAAATAAATAACCTATTATAGAGAATCAGAATAAAAAACATCAACTACTTGGCTAAAATATTTAATTTTTAAGGAAAAAACTTTTTAAGATCATTAAAAAAACTTTTACAAACCCAGCGAGGGTTTTACTATTAAATAAGTAGAACAAATCAATTTATTCAGGTTTAAAGTTTTAAAGTGTCGGAAAAAACCTGTAAAAATTGGAGGAAAAACAGTTTTTTCCGTTTTTTCCCAGGCCTTTAAAAATTTTTTTGTGAAAATATACGAAGCAATGAACAACTCATAATCCTTGAGGATAATTCATTTATTACAGAAAAAAACCTAAACATTGAATTCAATTTAATAAATTTAAGAAAATAAACGTAAAATTAAATGTACTTTCATTTGGGTTCATTTTTGCCAAAGGGAGTCCATTAAAAATATCCATTTATAAAATAATGAATAAATTATAAAGTTAAATTACAAAATTAAAATTTTATAAATCGATGTGTCAAATAAAAAGATAGTTATGTTAATACTGCACCGAGTTTATTTTTGCGACCCCTTCTTACTGAATTATAATAACAAAATAAATATAATAATCATGTATTAAATGAAAGTCAAAAATTCATTAAAAAATGCAAAAGTAAATTTTTCTGAAATTTTCCGGAAATTTGAAAACCCTAATTTGGTTTAAAATTTTGTGTTTCACTGTATTATTATTATTATGGTAATGGGATTTAAAATTTTTTAAAAAGTTTATAAACAATTTGGGATCATTGGTTTCTATAACAAATTTAAGACAAATTTTGGAATTTCTGGCTTTTCAATCTTGAACGCGTCTTTGCACGGATATTTCCCTTGTTTGTGCTATCAGGACTTGTTCGTAAACAACAATGCACTAATTCTTCCTTGTTCAAGCGTAATCTGTCAACCTGCTGATAATCGCAAAACTTCTCGCAATCGAACTCCCAAAGATCGCAAGCAGCTCCTTGTTCAGCAAAATGCAAATCTCTCAGGATAAGTGTTACGTAATAATGCAACCGACAAAACTTTACCTAACTGTTTCGTGCATTAGACTAAATGGAATTTAAAGAGCAGCTTATTATATAATCTTCACTATTCTTACCTCGTACCTTACTTCGCTGAAAATACTCCTTTCAGAAATGTTATTCTATAAATGTTATTTTATAAAAACTATTACCAAACACGTTTAAGTATTCGATCCTAATTGTTTAAAAATGTATTAAAAAAGTCTTTAAATAATATTCAAATATAGCGGAAAGCACTGCCGTTTATAAATCGAAAGTATATAAATTTATGTCAGGGTTGTACTTCATTTTATCTAAATATTTTAATAAATAATTCTTAAAGGAGATTTTCCATAAACTGCGTAAATTAATGTACTTTATATCGATTTTCGTGAATATGAAATTTATTGAACTTCGATCACAGATTCACATATATCGATGGTTATTTGACAAATCATCGTAAGCGACAAAACCTAAATTTTACAGTAGAGATTTTCTTTGTGTGGGAGCTTTATTTTTAAAGTTATTTATCTGAAAACTGGTAAGGCATTATTTTATTAATGTAGAATTCAAATATTTAAGTAAGATCGAATCCAATCTAAAATTTTTATTAAATTTTGTGGCATACGATATTTTATAAGAACACCTTTAGGAAAATTTAAAATTAGTCTTGTCGCTTAAGTTACATTTACGTTACTATGTGGGATATAGATTTGATGATTACTTTTGTCAAAACATCGTTAGCGACATTTATTTTTTTACTTTTATTATTAAATAAAAAAATTACAAAAAAAATTAAAATATCACCAACGATATTTTGCCAAACAATGTTTGAAAATGAAATTCTACATTAGGTTTCTTAAAAAAAAAACGTATCTAACCCATGGAGCCTACACAAGGAGCCCGAACTTAATAGGGGAAATTGACAAAACCTGTCCTCTAAATTGTACCTACAATTTAAGTTTCTTTTTTTCACCACCAGCGGCGCTGATTGTCGATGCTAGCGTTTCGGTACAAACGCTGATGTTCGGACTCCTTGTGTAGGCTCCATGATCTAACCCATGGTACTATGATCTAACCGTTATAAATTTAAGTCAAATTATTTGACGCTATAACAACATACAATTACTAAAAAAAAACACTTTTAACGAACCACACTAGGTAAAAACAGTTATAATTAGGATAACTATTAATAATGCAATGAAAAAAAGAAATTATAAGCTTTTCATCAAATAAAATATTGTTTTAAAACTTGGTAGCAATCACCACGATGCAGGTATACTCACGAATAAACTGTTTAAAGCGGGAATAACGCCTTGATAGATCAAGGCGGGAGAACAATATTATCGTAAGCGACACAATGTTAAATCGCAAACGCCATGTCTCGGAGTTGCTTACGATTATTTGTCGGTAACATATAGGCGCTTACGTTATAAATCGGTAACAAATTAAAAAGAAGAGGCGCTTACAATAATAATAATATTCAAACTGACCAATATTAGATTCCAAAATTGGGATAACTATTATGTCAACATGTGCAGCTTTTCGTAACTGACACTTTGATAAAATAAAAAGTAATTCAACAAAATGTCGCTTACGATGTTTTGTCAAATAACCATCGATATATTCCGTAATGAGTTAGTGTTTTTACCAGTCAATTATTTGGTATTAGATTTGGAGTGAGTAGCAACAGTGATTGTGCGATAGCGACATTAATTTATGACCACTGTCCGTGGTCTCCCGACTTAATTTTCTGTAATTTCTGTATTTTATGGTAATTATTAATTTATTATGGAAGTTAATTATATAAAAATAAACAGGAGCCTTTCAGGTCTTGGACCTGAGTTCAAACGTGATTTATTGTCTTTTATTTACTGTATTTATTTTTTCCCTTTAAATACTTTTCCCATGAATACAACACCTCCAAAGTGCCTTGGGTAACTAAATTACTGAGCTTTATTAATACCGTAAGTATTTATTTTATTTGTCGTATTTCATTTTATCACTTGGGGTGTAACTTTTATAGATTATTTGCTGGAAGGGGTTTGTGCCCTTACCGTATTTTACCACAAGAATTAATAATAATAAAAAATAAGTTATTCCTTATAATATTACCTGCGGATAATCCCCCGACTTCGTCTGGTAATCAAAAACATACAGATAGGAATTCCTATGCTCTGCGGAATGCAGATCGGCGGTGTGCACCACAGGGGCGACGTACTGGGCATCTGACAGCGCCTCCAGGGTCTCGTCCCTGATGTTGATCGGGTGCTGAACGGGCCGCTCCCAGTCCGTGTACTCGTTGACTATGGTGGCGAGTATCTCGGACAGGTGATAGCTATAGGTGTTGCGTACAAAAGTGCGCAGTATTTTGGACCGTCTGTCGGCTTCGATGCCGTACTGCACGTCTTCGCCGTTGAAAGCGAAGTAGGACTCGGCTTTCACGACCCCTAGTAGCAAGTCGTAGCGAGATAGTTTCGATACAACCGATTTGCGTAGGAGCACGTTGTTTAGTATGTTAATGGCGTTTTGAGGGGGCTCCACTTTGGCAGGTTTGTTGCTGTCGAACTCGTTGTAGTGGGGATTGTTGTCACCTAAAAAAATTTGTTTTATATCATTAATTGTCAAGGATAAGTTATTTAACTATATTTAGATATATAAATAGGTATAGTATGAATTGAGTTAATAACCATACCAATGCTTAATTCAATGGTTCATCGGGAGAATATGCTGATTCCTCTGTATATTCATTTAATCCGCCCATATTCAATATGTCAAATTTAATTATCCAGTTAATGAAATCCCAGCAATTCAATTAGAAACACAGAAACTACCTATTCCGATTCTACGTACACAAATATGAAAAAAATATCCTATAAATATAGGTCGAGAAATGCTTCCTAAGTAAGCTACTGCCCCCGAAAGAGGAGCCCCTGATTATGGCTTTTATTTAATATCTCCAAAACCGTTTACGATATAAATATAAAATTTTGAGAATTGATCAAACTTCCTGTTACATTGCATAAAATGTCAACTGTCTTGAATAATTTTCCCTAAACATGGCAGCCGTGTTCCATCTTGGGGGGCTTTTCTTTTGGGGGCTGTAGCTCCCTTACGAAGCATTTCTCGACCTATATAAAAGGGATTTTTTATTTTTTTTTTGTACGCAGAATCTGCTGTTAATTGAACGTTAATTATGGGACACCCTGTATACTGTGTAAAGTTTATTAAAAAATATTACATATTATAATTTATTTTTTACTTTCAGGTAACAAGCTTAAGTCAAATTTAAAACCATTTTAGAGATTGTTATACTATAAAGACATTTTAGGTAAAAATAATTTTAAAGACAATATTTTAGACAGTTCTTTGGAGTGTATCCAGATTAAACACAACGAGTTTACCCACTCCTATTCTTAAATTAGGTACCAAAATACGTACTGAAAAGCAACTTTAAGGTGATAAAATTATTGTATAACATTTAATTGAACAAGATTTTTTGATTTGAAATATTTAAAAATACGTGACGAATACATCTTAAAATATAATAATACTATAATCAATTTTATAATTTTTTAAAGCGGCGCCTTATTTAAATTGTTTTTGTAAAGCATACAAAAATATTAACAAAAAAACTCTACAAATTTGCAAGAATTTGTAAAAATGCATGCGATTTTTAAATAAAACATGAAATTTATTGGAAAAACATGATGGCAACATTGCACAGGGATATCACATTTTTCGTTGTTCGAGATCACCAGTACCAACCAACCCACAGTACCAATCATGTACAAAAATAAGAATTTGGGTAAAATAGCTAAAATCACACTATTTTAGGTAGTAAAATTTAAAAATTGGGTCAATTTCTCTTAGAAATTAAAATTTGGATAAAATAAAATTAAAAACTTTCTTTAAAACGTATTTTATACAATTGCACCCAAAGTTATGATTTGCATATTGTTTGGCAAGCGAGACAAGGATAGCGATATAAATTCTTCCACGTGAATTATAGTTTTCCAGACTATAGACAAATAAGTATAATAACATTGAAAACGCACCTCACGTGAAGCCCTATTTTTATGCTTTTTTGTTTTTAGATCTACAAACAAAACTATTGATGATGTGTCAAAAAAAATAAATATCAGTTTTTTAGTACTTTTAATTCCCTACCAAATTGTCCTTTTAATTTTCTATTTATTTTTCGAGTTTTTATATCTAGAAACTTAACTTTTGATGATAGGTTAAAAAGTTGAATTACTAATAGTTGTAATTTACTATTTTGTATTACATTTCATTTCCTACAAAATTGCCTTAAACAAATTGATTGTATCATTATTACTAAATAAGTTATAATATATTATATTATGTAACCCTATACGCTAAAGAAGCATTGGGTTTTCGCAACGCGCACGCCATCTGGTGGCGCTCGATAGCATTATTGAACTACAAGGTTTGTCGACAATACATTTAAAGCATACGAACGGCACCTCATTTTTAAATAAATATGTAATTTTTCACAAAAGAGAGCACAATCAACTAATGATAACTTTACCTAATATAATTTATATTTAAGGTTGGACAATTTTAAGAAATCTAACAAAAAATAATTGTTCTACAAACATAACCTTAAAATCGAATATTTTTTTATTTAAGTTCTAATAAAAACCCCGACAACTGCATTTTAGACCTAAAAATATACCTACGAATTCATGGCAACATAATAATATATAAAATACATAATATAATACCGGTTCTTGGTATTTTACTGTTGGGTGGAGACTTTAATCAACTCTTTTAATAACGCTAAATGCTCTTGGAATTTAGACCAATTATTTATACGATTTTTTTTGTTAAAATTACGTTTTTTAGATCTAGAAACCAACTATTCATTATAGGTTTAAAATTAAATTGCAATTTTGCAGTACTTTCCTACAAAGTTATGAAGTCTTCTTTTTATGATTTTTTTAATTTCACACGTTATTAGTAAAAAAATTAATGTGTACCACGCCTCTCATGAGAAATAGGCTCTTCGTGTTTGTAAAAATATATGAGGTGTAAAAATGTAAAAATAAAATATAATTAAAATGTGTTCATCATTTTTCATGCATGATTTTTATGTTGCTTTTAAAATATCATAATAATTACCGAAAATTATATTTTATAAATTAGTAATTTAAAATTATAAATTATTATCAATTATAAATCATAATACCGGTCAAACATCGGAAACTGATTTCAATGCAAACAATCGACGTTACGCAATAAATAAATATTGCGTTGTCTCTGTTTACCCTACATCATGAAAGTGGAGGGGGTAAACTCATCGTTATAGAACAGTTTTTATATTGTTAATTATTTAAATTAAAATTGTATTGTTTTTATATTCTTTGTGTGCATGTTAACTCACAACAGAATGATCAATACCTATAATGCATGTGCAGTGATATCGAGCCATTTATATATTGGCGGACCAAACCCGATCACATTATTTTAAATGTCTGTGTTTGCTGCCATAATTATAAAGAGCGCGAGCACGGCAAATTAATGAGTTAGGTGGGGTTTTATAGAATTTTCGAAATATAAATGAAATTGTCCCGTACATTTAACGTGTCCACAATAACACCAAACCGACGAATTATTATTATTTATGGTATTATCGGATTTTGTCGAAATTGTCATATTAATATTTTCCCATGAAAAATTGATTTCAAAGTATTTTTGTTTTTAGACTCATTTTATTTGTAAGGGACCAAAAACAAGAAAAAATTTAAAACATTCAAATATTCAAAGATTAATTTACATATGTTTACGAGGTGTGTTTAGAAAATAACGGGAATTGTTAAATTTCGCGGGTTTTTAGGGTCCGGTTGTCATAAAATTTTCTTTATTATGTTGGTATACATGCCCCCGAAGTATGATAAAAACTGCTGGTTTCATTGTTTACTTTATCTGTGGCAGCCGCTAAGGTTAGACGTGTTTTATCAGCTCGGCGATTTTTCGTTCGTTAAAAGAAATGGATCAAAGAATTTGTATCCAATTTTGCTTAAAAAATGAAATAAATTCTGTGAAATGTGAGTCTGCTATAAGTAAAACAAGAGTTTACAAGTGGTATAAGAGTTTCCAAGAGGGCCGTGAAGACGTTGAAGATGACAAACGCCCCGATCGCACAAGCACATTAACAACCGATAAAAACATGGAAAAAGTGTAAGAAATAGTTATAAACCATCAGATAAGTCGTTGATGATGTTGGTATATCGATTGGCTCATCCCATGAAATTTTTTCGAATGTTTTGGGTATGAAACGCGTGGCAGCAAAATTTGTTCCAAAATTGTTAAATTTTGAACAAAATTTTTGGCCAAAAACAATACTCTAATGATGCCCCAGCCTCCATATTCGCCAGACATGCCTCTGTCTGACTTTTTCCTATTCCCAAAAATAAAGAGAACCTTAAAGGGCCGTCGTTTTTGCAAGCATAGATGACATTAAAAGCGCATCGCTGAAAGAACTAAAGGCTATCCCAAAGATCGAGTTTTAGAAGTGTTTCGAGTATTGGAAGAAGAGCTGGCACATGTGCCAATGGGGACTATTTTGAAGGCGACAACATTAATGTAGACGAATAAATAAATATTTGTTTCAAAAAACTAAAATTCCCGATATATTCTGAACACACCTCGTAAGCGTTTGATAGCTGATTATTAAAAGTTCTATTTTTGTTACGATGATAACAGCCGAGTGGATGTTAGATTTTTACGCGCTTTTTAAAAGGACATATCTGAATAAGTAGAAATATAAGATAATTATAAAACCATTAATCTTGCTTAATCTTTTGCTAAAATTTTAAATTTTGATAAATTTAAGTTAATTCTAGTATGGATACATGCAAATGTAGTAAATCGATGCTTTTGTAGTTAATTAAAGACAAAAAACGTGTTGCTGGTTGGGTTTAAATTTATCTTAATTACCATTTCCCGATTAAACTTTTTCACGCTATTACACAATTATTTATAAATCCTGGCAAGGTAATTGGCATAAAGCTGTGTAACAAACAAAGTAGCAAAAGAAATTCTAACGAGCATATTTTCCATACCTAATCATTTTAAATTTATTACTTCATTCCACCCTATGTACTTTAAGTATTTAAATATCGTTATAAATAGTTGTGGCGTGATTCTAATATATTTATTTATATTATAATACATTTATTATTGTGGTGGCATACATTTACTCTGATTTACTTGAATGTTTTATGCGTATTAAATATGGCTCAGGCTATCTACTCCCCACCGGGAATTTATTAAGGTTAAATTTATTCCTCGTGTGATTTTTCATGATGCGAACCACCAGCACATAAATTTTGTTGCAGGTTTAGATAAATATGTGAATAATTTAAATTAAATAATAAAACTTAATTATTTTATATAACAGATACTTTGTTAAGCCAAACTTTTTCTTTATAATATATTATGTATCAAGTTTGATAAACGCCCTTGAAAATGGACTAACAACCGTTTAAATGATAATATAGAAGAAGTATTTTTACAGTGAAAGTGAAGAGAATATTTTATGGGCACTTCACGGTAGAGTCTTAACCCAACTAATACTAATACTAATACTAATTTAATACTTTTTATTGTAGTATTAAGGTAATAAAATAATTTCAACATTATTTTTAGAATATTTTAAGGATTTTTATTTTTTTGTTTAAAATAGGTTTAAAGATTTTTAAGAATACTGTTTTTATAATTACTTTTATTTATTTTTACTTTTAATAGCATTTAAATAACCTTTTTTTAGATCATTCAACATTTTTGGTAATATTTTTCTAAAATTGTTTTAAAATTTTTTATGGTTTTTAATTGTTTTATCTATATTTAAGATTTTTATTTAGAATTTAATTACTTAAAAGGATTTGAAATAAATTCTTTTTCAATTTATTTAATTTATTTAATTTATTTAATTTATTTAATTTATTTAATTTATTTAATTTATTTAATTTATTTAATTTATTTAATTTATTTAATTTATTTAATTTATTTAATTTATTTAATTTATTTAATTTATTTAATTTATTTAATTTATTTAATTTATTTAATTTATTTAATTTATTTAATTTATTTAATTTATTTAATTTATTTAATTTATTTAATTTATTTAATTTATTTAATTTATTTAATTTATTTAATTTATTTAATTTATTTAATTTATTTAATTTATTTAATTTATTTAATTTATTTAATTTATTTAATTTATTTATTTATTGTTTTAAACCAAATTTTAATAATCAATATTTTAATATTACTACAAAAAAATAACATAAACTGTCATATTTTGGTCCTAAAACTACTCTGGAACCTGTCAAAAGTGAGTAAAAACCATCAAAATTATCTTAAAGTGTTTATTGTCTAGATATGTTCTAATTTTTTTAAACTACAAAATAATAGCCTAAAATATTTTATTTTTTTTATAAAACTATCTTAGTACTTTTAAAAATTACCCATATCTATTGTGTTTGGTATCTATAGATATACTGTCCAAAATATTTACCAAATTGTCTTAAAACTTTCAAATAGCATTAAATGTCTTAATATTGTCATTAACTATAGTTAACTATAGGGTCATTAACTATACGGTATACCCTAGTTTTTTTTTAAATTTACTAAAAATCATTAAAATTGTCTTAAAAGTATCTTTTATAATTAAAATAACCCTGTGATGTCTTTTAAAAAAAAATACTGTAGGCTTTTTATATAAATAATTTAAATATTTAAGATTTTTTAAAAGATTTCTAAATACTTATATATAATATTTTTAATAAGAATACATTGTCTGTCCTTAATTAAACAAAAAATTATTGTTTTTAAACTACAAAAAAATAACATAAACTTATATTTGTCCTTAAATAAAAAAATTACAAAAAATCATTAATATTGTTTTAAAACTATCAAAAATATCATAATATGTATTAAATTTGTCCTAAACATACTGTTAAAAATTGACTAAAATCTATCAAAATTGTCTTACAATTATTAAAAAATGTTTTTGAACTGTCTTAAATCCCATCTCTATATTGTTCTGTTTAATTATATAGATTCTCCAAAATTGTCTTAAAACTATCTAAACATGTTTTAAATTTCCATATCTATTGGGAAAGTTCTAAATTGTCTTAAGACTACCAAACAAAATAAAAAGTCCTAATTTTGTCATAAAACTCCCCTAGAATTATTAAAATCACAATAAACCATCAAAATTTTAACTATACTATAACTATAGCTATACTAGAATTGTTAAAAATTACTTAAAACCATCAAAATTGTCCTTAAAATATCTAAAACTGTGCTCTTTAAAAATTAATTAGTCAAAAATGCTTTTTCACTTGTACCATGATTAACCATGGAATCTCATGGTATCCCAAAATTTAACAGCCAATTCTTATGTAAAATTGTCCCCTGAATCCGAAAATGTCGTCAAAAGTGAAAAAAAATAGAACAGTTTTTGAGATATAGTCAATTTTCCATTTAATATGGAATTGGCTATATCTCAAAAACTGCTCCACTTTAATAAATTTTGACGGTATTTTCGGATTCAGGGAACAATTTTACATAAGAATTGGCTGGTAAATTTTGTGATACCATGGTATTCCATGGTTAACCATGATACAAGTAAAAAAGCAGCCACTAATAACTATTAAATTGGTCATTTTTGACTAATTCATTTTTAGAGAGTGTCTAGTATATATTCTAATTTTTTTTTTAAATTACAAAATAATAACATAAAATGTATTAATTTTTTATAAAACTTCTCTAGAAGTGTTAAAAATGTCATAAAACGATCTATAAATATCTTAAATCCCCCATACCAACAATGACGACATCGTTTCTATAGCCGCAAGTTTATTATACACTAAAATGCAAATATTTTTTCAACATTGATATCTAATGAGAAGGAATGCTAAAAATCTTCTTAACGACTTGCTATGACAGAAAAATTCCAGTAAATGTAGGGCTTATATCTTTTTTGTTTAGTATCCATAGATACATTATCTAGAATATTTCCTAAATTATCTTAAAACTGTTAAAAATTACTAAAAACCATTAAAATTAAAAACATCTAAAAATATCTTATATCTATTTGTTTAAATGTCCATTGTCTAGAATATGTTTTAAATTGTCTTAATACTACCTAATTTTGTCATAAAACTTCAATAAAAATTATTTTCCTAAAACTATAGTTAGATAGATAGATATATCTAAAAATGTCTTAAATCCCCACTCACGTGCAAAATAATCGACCCACACAAATTTTCGATGAATTTCAATCGCAAATAACTTTTTTATTTGATGTCGGATTTAAACGAATATTAAAGAATATTGTAGTATTTATAAAAATACTAAAAATAGACGTACGTTTATAATATACAGGTTTAAACAAAAAGATGTTTTTTACCATAAGTTTAAGACACTCTGTAGAGTGGAAAAAACCGTATATTGTTCTAAATTAAGTTTTATTTATCAAGTCATATCTATTCTTAACAGTTTTGTTTTTGGTTCACCTCGATATATTTATTTTTGTGGAAAATATGGATTTTTTTAAAAAACATTGCAATTTCCAATATTTTTCCTGTATGAAGAACTAAGGTTGCTATGGTTCATCCATAGGCTATGGAGAATGACAGTGACAGTTTTGTTGAATCATCCCATACTTGGACATGTCATACACAGCTTTCAAAAGCTATCAAATTGTTTTTTGCACTGATGTTGCCAGAGCTATTAATTTAATCCAGGATGGACGGTCACAGTATTACGTGGCAAGTGTTTTAAATGTCATAAGAAGTAAAGTACAAAGGGCAACATCAGTCAGAGACATTTTTAAAAGTAAGAAGACACCTCAAAATTAACACATTAATTTACAAAAAACAATTTGATAGCTTTTGAAAGCTGTATATGACATGTCCAAGTATGGAATGATTCAACAAAACTGTCACTGTCATTCTCCATAGGCTATGGATGGACCATAGCAACCTTAGTTTTTTATACAGGAAAAATATTGCAATGTTTTTTAAAAAAATCCATATTTTCCACAATATTAGAACAATAAACGGTTTTGCCACTCCACAGAGTGTCTTAAACTTGGTAAAAAACATCTTTTTGTTTAAACCTGTATATTATAAACGTACGTCTATTTTTTAGTATTTTTTTAAAATGTGAGCGATTGTCCATTAATTTATCTACAATATTCTTTAATATTCGTTTAAATTCGACATCAAATAAAAAAGTTATTTGCGATTGAAATTCATCGAAAATTTGTGTGGATCGATTATTTTGCACGTGAGTGTATATTTAAATGTGTCAGGTATTTTTAAAACAATTTAGGACATATTCTGGACAATAAATAATAAAATCTCAATTTTGTTCGAAACTGACAAAATTTAGTAAAAATATTTCACTTTCAGATAAAGTTTTAAAACTTGTGGGACAATGTTTTGTTCTCACCTGGCGGTTCTCCCGTATCGATGACGACGCCGTCGACGCTCGGGCCGAAGGCGAAGGCGAAGTCGGGCGCCGCGACGGGCGTCGACATGAGCTTCTCGAGCGGTTTCTCGCGAAGGCACTTCAACAGATGCAGATGAGGCAGCTCGGGCGAGCAGTTCGCGTGGATGGCCACGTGCGCGGCGTATCTGGACGGTTCTTGCACCAGGGCCCACGGCGACAGAGCCGAGCCCGACATCAGGATGGCCCTGTGAAACAAAACGCCTGAAAAAAAAGAAATAATTGGTTAAAAAAGAATCAGAACAAAGTTATTAATATCTTAAAACAAATTTTCAAAAAATTAATTTATTATAGAGAGTGGGGCAAAGCGGAATGAGGGGCAAAGTGAAATTTGTGATATGGCAACATTGCTTCACACTGAACTTGGTCAAAACATTTCCTCTATTAGCACTTTATTGCATACAGAAAGCGCCGATCGCTGAGTGCACGTATTTCTGTTATTATGTGAGAATATAGAAATCCGGCATTTTTTGTTAATACTTTTAAGTGGCAAATTTATGTTTAATGAAGGATTGTTTAATTAAGACAAAAATTGCTGTTTACTATTTTTAAGGTAAGACATACTTACACATATACCAGAATATTCAGACGCATCTTGCTATTGGTATATGTAAAATCACACTTGATATAAGAAAATACCGAATGGGGTAAAGTGGAACTTTGCCCCACAAAATAAAAATAGCAATATTTTTGAAGAAGAAAAAACCTGGGATATGAATAATTATCGTCCATTTCTTATAGAAAAAATGGTAAGGAACATTGTTTGAAAATCCAAACAACATTCTTGGGATGAAGACGATATGATGGATGCTGTGAGAGCATATGTACCGCATATGATTGTCTGTCTGATGAAAAATTGTTTAGATATTTTTTTATAGTCTTCATATCAAATAAAAATATATTTCACTTTACCCCACGATATATTGTTATATATTTTTGTCATTTTTCAACAACATAATGACCATTTAATTAACAACACATAAGTGCCTTATTTTCAAATACTATGACTACTATTTAATTGTAATTGTAATGGTTTAACCGTAAATAAAGATATTATTATTATTATTATTATTATTATTATAAAAAAAATCAAATATTGTTCCGCTTTGCCCCACTCTCCCCTACCTGCTAAAGTCAACTACCAACAGACCAATATCCTTATTACCAATTTTTTCAAAAATAATAGAACTGTATATCAAACCGAATAATGAACTATTGTAAAAAATATGATATAATTTCCAGCCAGCAATTTGGTTTTATTAAAGGTAAAAGTACTGAATTGGCTATATTTCATTTTATTGGTAATACTTTAAACCTATGGAATAGCAAAACCTTGGCAATATCTGCTTTTTTTGATTTGTCTAAGGCTTTTGACAGTATAGATAAAGAGTTACTTTGCATTAAATTGGAAAAGTATGGCATAAGAGGGCCTGTTTTAAGCTTGTTGTCTTCATATATGTCGAATAGAAAGTGGTCTGGAATTTACTTCCAACATTGTTGAATTACATAAAGGTGTTCCCCAGGGCTCAATCTTGGGACCTTTACTTTTTGTATTATATGTTAATGATTTACCCAAAAAAGTTACAAACAATGATAAAATATATATGTATGCTGATGATACTGCTGCAATATTTATTCTGTAACATTAATAGTTAATACATCACATCAAATCATTTTTGATTGTTTTCAAGGCAATGGTTTAAAATTAAATGTGGAAAAACACAGTATATAAAATTTGGGGAGTATGGGTTTTCAAGTAGTTCGCCAATAAACATAAAAAAAGAGTTTACCATTGAATTTTGCGAATCAGTTAAATTCTTGAGTCTCGTCTTGGATAGTAAATTTTCGTGGAAATATCAGTGTTTACTATGGATATATTTATTCTAACCTAAAATATGGAATTATTTTCTGGGGAAATTCTTCTCACATAGGTAATCTATTTATTTTTCAAAAGAAATGTTTAAGGTGTATTTTTAAATTAAATTATACTGAATCGTATAGATCTACATTTATTAATAATAAATTGTTAACTTTACCAGATATTTATATTTTTGAAGTTATCTTATTTAATAAAAAGCATTTTGCACTGTTTGCAGAAAATGATCAGCATAGCCACCATACAAGATATAAAAGTGTTAGTGTTAACTCACACTATCTACAAGGGTATACAAAATTTTGCTTTAAAAATATTTAATAAATTAATTAATTTAAGAAATGAAGCCTGCCCTAAAGGCATATCTTGTAAATAAGTGTGATTATAGTGTTGACGAATTTTTTATGTAATAAAGATGTAGGTATAGCATATGTGTGTACGTGGCCTACTTTTTATTGTAATTTATTTAGTTTCTTGCATTTAGGTATCTAAATTGTTATTAATGTTTTTTTGTGACGTGTTCTACATTGTATATACAATTTTTTGAACTAATAAACTTATTATTATTATTATTGTTCTTCACTATTATTTAATTTACCGACTAAAATTAACCAAATGCAAGTCATTCAAAACAGAGCCCTAAGAACTATTTTAAAGTGTTTTTGTCCATGTTAAAAGTTGTAAATGGATTATCTGTGAAACAAAAAGTTATGTTTAATGTCAACTTATTTGTTTTTAAAATAAAAAATTGTTTGTTACCTAAATATATATAAAACTAAATTATTTAAAGATGTCCATGGTTACAACACATGACTATATTGCACAACCCAATTGTTGAATTCATTATTATTATTATTATTATTAGGCTACCACCTGAGATAAAAATCTGTTATAACCTAGTACTATTTAAGAAATTGTTAAGACTTTATACTATAGAAAATGTTATATAATTATAATGATTCATTTTTAAACATTTTTATACCTTTTATATTTTTTTTATATTATATTGTTCTTTCATTCTATTATTTTAATTTGTTTATTGTTAATTATATATTATACTTTTATATTTTTCTTGTAATGTTTTTTGTATATAGCAAGATAAATAAACGATTATTATTATTATTATTAATATCTCTGCTGCCAGTGATGTCAAAAATATTTGAGAAACTGCTAAACACGCGTATTATTGCATATCTAAAACGTCACAAACTGTTATCTCCAACGCAATTTGGGTTTTTTGTCGAGCCGATTGTATTCACAAGACCTTATCTTTCAAACAGATTTCAGGTTGTTAGCATAGATTCTGAACAAAATAATCAAAAAATCAATTATTTGTCTGAAAAAATGCAAATTTAACAAGGCGAACCTCAAGGATCGGTACTGGGACCAACCTTGTGTTTAATATTAATTAATGATCTGTCAGTCAAATTACAGGGCCTTTGTCAGTTTTCGGATGACACTTTTTGTGTTGCTTTGGCTAGGACTATTCCCAATATCAAAATACACCGAAAATATAACAAGGAAAACGTTATGTTGCTTAATACAACAAAAACCTAACTTATTGTCTTTCATTTAAGGTCAACTTGAGCAGTTTTCTTGTGCGAGTTAATGGAACGAGAGTCATCTGGACAGGTTTCCAGAAAAATCTAGGGGATATGAGCAAGGAGCAGGGTGATAGTGTGCATCAGGATTTACGCGGAAGAACGTTATCATGGTTTCTGGAATACGAATATGATGTCTGATTATTGCCGGTTCATGATACGCCATTAACCTAAATCTACACATACGACAAGAGCTTTAAAGCGAAGTTTTTTAGAACTCAATGATTAATTTAATTTTTTAATAATTTTTCTTATTAAATACGTGTTTTATTCTGTATTATTTTAATCGTAGATATCTGAGACCAAAATACTAGAGCTGATAAACAAATTCTACTTATATATTTGAAATGAGAATATTTTATGTATTCAGCAATAGCAACAAATTTTCCGGCAACTGATGTATACTAGTGTTATTATAAATAATTTTATACATTGTGTTTATCATATTCTACCACTGGATTGTGCAACAATGTTACCAGACTTGTTGGTAACTCCAACAATTATTGGATTGCGAAGACATGGCGCCCTTATTTATAATATTAAATAATAATATTATTAAACAATATTTCGTGACAACAATTATTTCCAGACAGTCTTTTAACTTTCCATTTAAAATACTGCTAAGCGGCCTCTTAATCCAGCCTAATCCAATCCTTTTCAGGATTAGTTTTAGAGTAACCGCGCGGTAAAATAATAAAGTAAGTAATTAGAGTAAACAAAACAAAGCACAGAGCATGTAGAGCGTCTCTCTCTCCATGCAGAGCAAGGCCAGCAGCTGGATGTGCAAAGCAATTTGTCCTCAAGGCTAGGAAAGTCTATTTGTATCCCCGAAGCTTTCAAGCTAAAAAGCTCTTACGTGCTTATGCATATGATGTGTACAAACTGCTCTTTTTACTAAGCCACAATGCATTTACATAAAATTTAGTCATCACATGTTAAAAAGAAAATTGTTTAATTAAAAAAATTCTCAACCTTGGATGGGCTTTTGTTTGAATATTTCATTAAAATATATATGTAAGGAAAAATGGGTTCTAAAATAGTAATGTAGATTAATAAGGCCTTGGTAATAAGGACATTTACATTTATCTTGGGTATAACAAGTCTTGTGAAATACAAATAAGAAGTATAAAATCATTTCTCGAGAGAGTTTCGCAGCAATTTCAAGTCGTACGTTTCTAATTATAATTCAAGACATGATCGTTTTTAATTTGGCGAATTCAAACACATTAAAAACACTGTGTTGGGATGTTAAGTTTAAACAAAAGTAATACAAATTGATGACAGTATATTTCGGTGCTCGCTTGCTTTAAATTAAATTATATGCTCTTAGATCGGGTATTACCAAGTTTTTATTGCCATAAAATTGTCTTAATCTTTACTGTACAGGAACTTTAACCGATATGGGATATTAGTGTGGTTTAAGCGACTTTTGGTAGTTTAAGAAACATTTTTTTCAACAAACGTCAGTATAAGTATATTTTTTTACCACCATGCTATTTTTTATGATTTACCGCATCTATTTACTCTCTAAAAATAAATTAGTCAAAAATGACTAATTTTCACAGCGAAAAAGCAACCACTTATATTCTCGTCAAAAGCAATTTATATCCCGAAAATTTTGCAGTCAATTTCCATGTAAAATGTCCCCTGAATCAGAAAATGTCAAAGTTAAAAATGTAGAACAGATTTTGAGATATAGTCAATTTTCCATATAATATGGAATTGACTAT